GGGGTGGGGGTGGGGGTGGGGGTGGGGGGGCGGGGCCGCACGCACGCACGCACGCACGCAGCCTCGCCCCGCCGCGCACACGTGGACGGACGAGCGGAGAGGCAGGCACCCCCAGACGTGGGGTCGCGTCCTCCTCGCCCACGAGCCCCCGCCTGGGCAGAGCAGCCCGGCTGTGGCAGGCAGACCCTCTCCCCGCGACGCCACGCCCCAGGCACTGTGCCGAGTCCGACCCAGCACGTGCGGTCAGTGCGGAACCGTCAGGTGCTCACGCCCGCGCTGCGGACACCGGGACCGGCCGCAGGACAGGCCACCGAGAGCAAGGTTGGCAAGTCAAACGGAGTCAGACCACAGCAACGCGCGGCATCAGGGCACGGCGTGGGGCTGCGGGTACCACACGGACACTGTACCTTGTCGTGTCCCGACAGCTGGCCGGACGGGACCACACACACGTGCGGCCACGGAAGGAAAGGTGGGTACGAGGCGGTAAACACCAGCTGACCAAGCAGCACGCGCAGACACACGGCCGCGGGACGCCCTGGTGGGGTCGCCCTCCACCCCGGGAAGCCCACCACCAGCCTCTCGTGTCTATGACACTCAGGGAGCCAGGATGCCTGCTCTTGGGCCTCACCCCTTGTGTCCACCTCCGTCTGCGTGACCAGAGCCCACCCACCGGCTCCCCAAGGTGCGGGCTGCTCCTGCCTGCCCGGTTGCACACCTGGCTTGCGAGTCTGGGGCCCCAACAAGCTTTGTTGTCCTAGAACCCAGGAAGCCTGACCCACACTTGACCCAGAGCTTCCCTTCCACGGACAAAAGCATCAGTTCCCAGACACCCTTTCTTCAGAGAACACTCATACACGAGACTCTGAAATCCAATGTCATCTCCTCCAGGAAGCCCTCCTACACCTCCATGGGAGTCCTACTGAGCCCAGAACCTCCCCACTAGTCTGAGACCCCAGGAAGAGCACCAAGGCCAGCTTGCCCTCCTCGTCCTGGCTCTGGACAGGGTGCCTAATGCCCACACGGCCTTCCACCTAGTCCCAGCCCGTGAGCACAAAATGTGCCCATCTCGGCCTTGCTGTGCCCTTGCCGGGAACAGCAGGGACCCGGCACCCACCCAGAGAGCAGTCACTCCCAGGGCTCCCTGCTCGCAAGGCTCCCAGGGTCTCGGCACTCAAGGCCAACGCCCTGTACCCTCCTGCCCTTGGCCTGGGGGCTGGCCTCGCCTGGCGGGGCCCACTCCCCAGCCAGTCTAGGTGGGTAGGAGCCCCCCGTCCAGCCTCCAAGCGCTGCACAGCCTCCCCCAGCAGCTGTCCCCTGCCCAGGGCTGGCCAGCCCCAGGGTGCCCGCCCTGGACCTTCAGGACAGCAGAGCCGGCCACAGCAAATCCACCCCCGCAGTTGTCTTAAGTTGTCTGTTTCAAGGGCCCCGAAAATCAGAGACATCAGCCTTCCCGCCAGCCGGAAGTGAGGGACAGCGGAGTGTGGCCGGCACATCTCCCGGCCGCTGCGGGGCCTACCCTGCGTGACACGGCGGTGCTGGAGCGCTCCTTGAGCTGGGGGTCTGTAGGGAGGCTCTTCCAGATGATGTACGGCGTGTCATACTTGGCTCTCAGCCTCGGGCAGCGTTTGAAGATAAAATCGATGACAAAAAGCTTGATTCCGGCGTAGAGTCCTGGGGGCAGAATGAGGTCCCGTTTCTCCAGGACCCTGCGACCCTGCCAGCGTGGCCAGCACGGCGGTCCCTGCCCTGCCGGGCACTCCGTGGAGGGCCTCCCGGGACCCAGGTGTGGGCCGATGGTCCTGGGGTGGTTACACAGGGCAGGGAAGTGACCCCAGCTGAAAGGGAAGCCACTTCTGTGTGTGTGTTGTTACCTCCAACCCAGAGGTGGCTCAGGCCAAACACTAACCTGTCCCTAACGAGTCACCATCCTCCAAAGGGGCCGTGAGCAGGACTTCGGGGGACCCGTCCCCAGCCTGCCCGCCCCTGACTAGGTGAGCCGGCAGTGACGGCCAGGGGCTCCCACCTCCCAGTCAGGGCACCTGCGTTGGCCCAGGTCCCCAGAGAAACGAGACAGACAGCCCGGAGCACGCTGCACGTGCGCTGGCGTTTGTCATTCCCCCCACGGCCTCACTTGCCTGCCCTGGTTTTCCTGGCGAGGGGGGCGGGGAGGGGGCGAGAGACCGAGGACCCACCTGCACGTTGGGGGGCCGAAGGGCAGGTGGGCACAGTGCCCAGACCACGAGGCCCCTGAACTGTGTGACCACCACACCCAACACTCCAGCTCAGGCTGGGCTCCCCCTGCCCGCCCCCCACCCACGCACCGTGGACGGAGCTCGCGGCGCTGATCAGACGGCGCGGCGCGCTGACCGTCCGGCAGGCTCCTTACCCACGGCCAGCCCCACCAGGCGGTAGGGGAAGAAGCAGGAGGCAAGGAAGGCGGCCCACAGCGCGATGTACAGCTTCTGGGTGATCTCAGGCTGCACCCACATGAACAGGCTGGAAAGGGAGGGGAGGTTCAGCCAGGTGGCGGGCGCAGCCTAGACGCGGCTGGCCAGGGGCTGATGACTTACTTCTTGATCTTTTCCAAGATGTCGGCCATCTTGCCAAAGAGGTTCTGTGTGAAAAAGCAGCTGTGGTCACGACACACCCCCGGGGCCACAGGGCAATGCTGGAGGCACCCAGCACCCGGGAGACCACGGCCGGCACCATGGAGCCCGTGGTCCTGCCCAGCTGCTCCCAGGCCAAGGACCGGGTCACGGGCTAAGGCACCGCTCGAGATGAGGGACCCAAGCCTGCAGCCTCCCGGGAGCTCGCCTGGCACTGGTCAGGAGGGCCTCCACCGACTGGGGCGCCGGCGTCAGACCAAGCCAAGTGGGCCCTCCCCACCAACCGGGTTGTCTCGGGTGTCAGCTCCCAGACAAGCCAGGTCTGGAGGGCTGGGTAGCGGGGGTCCCCCCACCTGGAGCCCGGCAGCGGTACCTGGGCTTTCTGGGCGACGTCCAGCACGAGCTGGAACTTCTCGGACACGGTCAGGTCTTCCTTTGGAGGCTCCTTCAGTCAAAGGGGAAAGAGAATTTCCACTGAAATTTAACAGTTCAGAGAAATTACTGACAAAAGCAGCAAGGAGGCCTCCCAGCCCAGGGACCAGGTCTCTGCTGCCCCGACAGAGAGGGATGGGCATCCCTGGGGGGCCCAGCCCGAGGGGGCAGCACGGGCAGCTGTGCTAGCTGACACCCGTCTGGTGCCTGAGAGGGTGGTAGGCAGCCCCCCAGGTGGGCAGGGCTGCTTGAACAGATCACCTTCAGAGGCGCATCTGAGACCACAGAGCCTGCACCCACCTGCACTTTACAGGCAGGGGAACGTGAGGTCCCAGCAGGGGGCCGAGGTCGTCCTGCTTGTCTGAGTTTATTCAGCAAGAACCTCCCTAAGACCTCCCGGTACCAGGGCCAAAGGGCACAGGCCTGCCTCCCCAGAGATACCCTCCCTGACCCCTGTAATAAAGGGGCCCCTGCAGACACCACCACATCCTGCACCCCTACTGTGTGCTCCACGCACATGGTAGGTGCTCAAACACCTGATGAAGCCCATGGACGCACCATGGCCTCCCTCCTGCCTGTGCCCGGTGGTTCAGCCCCACGGGCCAGAGTCCCCCGTACAGTGGTGGGCAAACTTTCTGTAAAGGGCCAGGTGATAAGCACGTGTGCCTCTGCAGGCCAAATGGTTGGTCGCAGCAGCCAAGCTGCTGCAGCCCCGAAGCAGCCAGAGCGTAAACGAACAGGCGTGACGGACACTCCCTCCACGGGAGGCTGAGCGGCTACAGGGGCCCCCTCACTACCTCCCCTCCACATCACGTCCCAGCTGAGGAGGGTCAGGTCACGCCAGGCCCGGCCAGGCCAACCTGCTTCCCCCGCAGCCAAGCCCAGGCTCGTGAAGGGCGCTCGGGCATCAGCTGGCGAGGGGTCAGGGTGCGGCCACGCGGG